CCCCCCCCCAACTCCGGCCGGCCGGGCCCCCTCCCCAGCTGGTGGGAGCCGGGAGAGGGGGGGGCCCCAGCCCGTTCTCCTGTTCTCGCCGCCATCCCCAGACGATGGTGAATGATGAACGTGCCACACCATGAAGCTCTTGTGGCAGGTAACTGTGCACCACCTGCGCCGCCACCGCCGCCACCGCACCTGGCCGGGGCTCCTGGCCGCCTCCCTGACCCTGCACGCCTGGCTCCTGGCCGCGGCCGCCGCCTCGCCCGGCCCCCAGAGCTGCCCCTCCGTCTGCTCCTGCAGTAACCAGTTCAGCAAGGTGGTGTGCACCCGCCGCGGCCTGGCCGAGGTGCCCCCCGGCATCCCCTCCAACACCCGCTATCTCAACCTCATGGAGAACAACATCCAGATGATCCAGGCGGACACCTTCCGCCACCTGCACCACCTGGAGGTGCTGCAGCTGGGCAGGAACGCCATCCGGCAGATCGAGGTGGGCGCCTTCAACGGCCTGGCCAGCCTCAACACCCTGGAGCTCTTCGACAACTGGCTGACGGTGATCCCCAGCGGCGCCTTCGAGTACCTGTCCAAGCTGCGGGAGCTGTGGCTGCGCAACAACCCCATCGAGAGCATCCCCAGCTACGCCTTCAACCGCGTGCCCTCGCTCATGCGCCTCGACCTGGGCGAGCTCAAGAAGCTCGAGTACATCTCCGAGGGCGCCTTCGAGGGCTTGTACAACCTCAAGTACCTCAACCTGGGGATGTGCAACATTAAGGACATGCCCAACCTGACGCCCTTGGTGGGCCTGGAGGAGCTGGAGATGTCGGGCAACAACTTCCCCGAGATCAAACCGGGCTCCTTCCACGGGCTCAAATCCCTCAAAAAGCTCTGGATCATGAACTCGCAGATCAACCTGATCGAGCGCAACGCCTTCGACGACCTGACGGCGCTGGTGGAGCTCAACCTGGCCCACAACAACCTGTCCTCGCTGCCCCACGACCTGTTCGCCCCGCTGCGCTACCTGGTGGAGCTGCACCTGCACCACAACCCCTGGGACTGCGACTGCGACATCCTCTGGCTGTCGTGGTGGCTGCGGGAGTACATCCCCACCAACTCCACCTGCTGCGGCCGCTGCCACGCCCCGCTGCACATGCGGGGCCGCTTCCTGGTGGAGGTGGACCAGACCTCCTTCCAGTGCTCGGCGCCCTTCATCATGGACGCGCCCGCGGACCTCAACATCTCGGAGGGGCGCGTGGCCGAGCTGCGCTGCCGGACGCCGTCCATGTCGTCGGTGCGGTGGCTGCTGCCCAACGGGACGGTGCTGAGCCACGCCTCGAGCCACCCGCGCCTGGCCGTGCTCAACGACGGCACCCTCAACTTCTCGCACGTGCTGCTGGCCGACACCGGCCTCTACACCTGCATGGTGACCAACGTGGCCGGCAACTCCAACGCCTCGGCCTTCCTCAACGTCAGCACGGCCGAGCTCAACACCTCCAACTACAGCTTCTTCACCACCGTCACGGTGGAGACCACCGAGATCTCCCCCGAGGACGTGTCCCCCAAGTTCACCAAGCCCGTGCCCACCGCCTCGACGGGCTACCAGCCGGCCTACACCACCACCACCACCGTGCTGGTGCAGACCACGCGCCCGCCCAAGCAGGTGGCCGTGCCCACGGCCGACGCCGGCGACAAGCTGCAGACCAGCCTGGACGAGGTGATGAAGACCACCAAGATCATCATCGGCTGCTTCGTGGCCGTGACGCTGCTGGCCGCCGCCATGCTCATCGTCTTCTACAAGCTCCGCAAGCGGCACCAGCAGCGCAGCACCGTCACCGCCGCCCGCACCGTGGAGATCATCCAGGTGGACGAGGACATCGCTCCGGCCGCCGCGGCCACGCCCGCGGCCGCTCCGGCCGCCGGGGCCGGCGAGGGGGCCGTGGTGCTGCCCAACATCCACGAGCACCTCAACTACAATACCTACAAGGCCGGACACGGCGCCCACTGGACAGAGAACGCGCTGGGCAACTCCCTGCACCCCCCCGGGACCACCCTGGCCGACCCCTATTTAATCCAGACCCACCCCAAGGAGAAAGTTCAGGAAACCCAGATATGACTCTTTTTTTTTGGGGGTTTTTTCCTGCTCTTTTTTTTGGGTCGTCCTCCCCCCCGCTCCTCTTCTCCTCCAACCCCGAATTATTATAAACACGATAGATGCACAAAAGCAGAACTCCAAAAAAGAAGGAAAGCCAGGAGAATTCCTCAACACTACGGAAAACCAGGAGAATTCCTCAATAATAGACACAACTTTTGTACAGGGGGGGGGAGAGACTCTTTTTCGTGTACATGCTTCTATAGCCAACCTCGGGGCCGAGAAGAGCAGCAGATTCTATTAAAATTTAACGAAACCCACCTAAAACTCCTACAAAAAAAAAACAAAACAAAACGAAAAACCACTATTTTCTACATCGCAGGTTCTATTTAAACACAGAAAAAAAAAAAAAAAAAAAAACCCTAAAAAAAAAACCAGGAAAAAAAAAGGGGGAAAAAAAAAAAAAAAAACCCCAACAAAACAGGA